GGGGGTGGGCGGTTGCGGAGAAGATAGGAGCCGAATCCACGACATCAACAACACGTTCGCTGAAATGAATTTGCTTAAGGGTATCGCAACATATATCTGCGAACACATGTATAAGATTATAATGAGTTTCAGCATGCTTAAAACCTTATTGTGACAGCTTAGTTATGTTAGCAGTACACAACAGGCCTTCAGGGTTGAAGGGTTTATGTGTAAACGTGTAGAGGGGTTGGAAGCAGGCGTCAATATTGAAATTTAAACAGAAAGCGATTTATCAACGCCAAGGGAATATAGTCCGAGTAAAGACAGCATTTTAACCAAGCGGGATCCGAACCCACCATTCCAAGCGGCACGGAAATCACCTCGCCTTCCATGCATCAAGTCAGATGTAACCACTTCAGCCAATCAGCTCTACTAAGATAAAGCTATCTGACCACCATCACAGCTTGTACACCGAAGACGCGGTCAAGAGTGAATTCGGACATCGAAAGGTACCAAATGATCGCGTAGGGCACGGGCCTATGTAGACAGCAAGGGTGAACCATCTACCTACTACTAGATTCAGCTGAAGGTTAGGGTATACTACGTAAAGGATGACTCATCGCGGTGATAGCCCATTCTACTGCATGGTCATGTTTGGGGCATAAGATTGTTGGGCTGCACGGCATTCTGTAGAGTATTGTAGAGGATGGCATACGGAATGAGTATAACTCTTCTTCCGGAGTTGCCTGGGAGCACAGCCTTGGTAGAGGATAACTCGGTTTACAGGTGGGCACTATCTATTGCTGAAGATACTTTTAGACCAGGCGTTTTCTGCTGCATAGATACAGTCGACTTGTTCTCTTCGCTTAACATCACAGGCTGGTCCGTTTCTCTCAGAATCCACACAAACTAACATCAAGATTCGCTTGTACAAATATCTGTATCAAAGGACCAGACAGCACCCTCTCTCTGCAGACATTCTCTGGACACTATTCAGACACTCTCTGGACACTATTCAGACACTCTCTGGACACTATTCAGACACTCTCTGGACACTATCCAGACACTCTCTGGACACTATTCAGACACTCTCTGGACACTATTCAGACACTCTCTGGACACTATTCAGACACTCTCTGGACACTATCCAGACACTCTCTGGACACTATTCAGACACTCTCTGGACACTATCCAGACACTCTCTGGACACTATTCAGACACTCTCTGGACACTATTCAGACACTCTCTGGACACTATCCAGACACTCTCTGGACACTATTCAGACACTCTCTGGCCAATATCCAGACACTCTCTGGACACTCTCTGGACACTATCCAGACACTCTCTGGACACTCTCTGGACACTATCCAGACACTCTCTGGACACTCTCTGGACACTATCCAGACACTCTCTGGACACTATTCAGACACTCTCTGGACACTATCCAGACACTCTCTGGACACTATTCAGACACTCTCTGGACACTATTCAGACACTCTCTGGACACTATCCAGACACTCTCTGGACACTATTCAGACACTCTCTGGACAATATCCAGACACTCTCTGGACACTCTCTGGACACTATCCAGACACTCTCTGGACACTCTCTGGACACTATCCAGACACTCTCTGGACACTCTCTGGACACTATCCAGACACTCTCTGGAAAATATTCAGACACTCTCTGGACACTCTCTGGACACTATCCAGACACTCTCTGGACACTCTCTGGACACTATCCAGACACTCTCTGGACACTATTCAGACACTCTCTGGACAATATCCAGACACTCTCTGGACACTCTCTGGACACTATCCAGACACTCTCTGGACACTCTCTGGACACTATCCAGACACTCTCTGGACACTCTCTGGACACTATCCAGACACTCTCTGGACACTATTCAGACACTCTCTGGACACTCTCTGGACACTATCCAGACACTCTCTGGACACTCTCTGGACACTATCCAGACACTCTCTGGACACCCTCTGGACACTATCCAGACACTCTCTGGACACTATCCAGACACTCTCTGGACACTATTCAGACACTATCTGGACACTATTCAGACACTCTCTGGACACTATCCAGACACTCTCTGGACACTATTCAGACACTCTCTGGACACTATCCAGACACTCTCTGGACACTCTCTGGACACTCTCTGGACACTATCCAGACACTCTCTGGACACTCTCTGGACACTATCCAGACACTCTCTGGACACTCTCTGGACACTATCCAGACACTCTCTGGACACTATTCAGACGCTCTCTGGACACTATCCAGACACTCTCTGGACACTCTCACATTATTCAGACACTCGACTCGAATCACCATTGGTTACAGAGATTGGATGAACCACTTTGATTTGACTCAGGTTGCGGTCTGCTGAAAGAGATTTAATCTCTCGCTTTGACATAGAGAATAATTGTGTTTCTTTTCAAGTTTTCGATCATAGCGGCCGTAAAAAAATAATACACTTAAATTACGCATGAAAGAATTACAGAAATGTAGTATCTTAAGAATCAATCATATAAACGTTGAAAATCGAGGGAAATTCAATTATTTATTTCGTTTAAGACTACATTTTAATTATTATAAACAAGTGTAAATTATAACCTGAAGTTTCACTTCGTAAGATAAGCATTAATGGGCTGTCTAGAAACCACAAAATCAATTTCCTGAAAACTCCACTTTGTAGTAATTTGAACTCAAACCTTTGCCAATAATTTCATTAAATAAAGGTATACTTTTTAAAAGGGTTTAGTTATGCCATGTTTATTTACATTTTCAGTGAGAAAATTTAAAAAAAAAAATGTTTTTGGCTGCTTAAAAATTGTGTTACTGTAAATACTAAAAACCATTACATTAGCAAGTCCGACAAAAAACAAACAATAACAATGTTATAACCTTATTTATTTCAATAACATCGCACGTGACTTTTTATATATGGAATGGACCTTTGCGATACTTTCATCAGTGCTGTTCATTGACCAGCATAGAGTATATTGATGTAACAACACTCCAGCTAGCGGCAGTAAAACGAACGATTCTACTGTAAAACACGAATAGGCTTGATTTTACTTGTAGATCAGATAGACATTTGAATTATGAAAATAATCGACGAGAACCCAACAATAAACGTGACAATGTACCAATGATATTTGAAACAGATACACACCGTCCTGCCACGGTTATTAAGCGAAATACCTGAATATATGAAGCAAATTTAGCCTAAGTGTGGTTTTTCCTGTGTAAAGGTGCAGGCCTATGTTCTCTATTTGTCTGCGTAGATGTAGTTCTTTGTAAGTAGTTTTGTCTGTGAATGAAGGTGTGTGTCACACTATCTGTATGTAGGTGTGAGTTTCTCTGTATGTAGTTGAGTGTCGTCTGTGTAGGCGTGTGTATGTATGTGTCTCTATATGTATGTGTGTGTGTGTGTGTATGTGTATGTGTGTCTCATTCTGTATGTAGATGCGTGTCTCTCTGTTTAGGTGTGTCTGTCTGTACTTAGGTATGCTTATTTTGTTTTTAGGTAGATGTGTGTGCAGGTGTGTGTATGTCTCTACCTGCAGATGTCTTTCTCTGTGTGTATGTGTGCAAACCTTGAGTAATTGATATTAGTTGAAGTGCCAAACAATGTTATCAATTATTAAACACAGCTCCTGCTTACACAAACACACAATTTATCAGGAGAATATCGATTTATGTTATCAGGCCCGATTTAGAATGGCGATTGCAATATCGATTTTGGCTTTTGAACACAACAATGTCACCGTAGCAATGCACATAAAAGTTCAAAGTTTACGTCTACTACCAATTGATTCATTGTGTGGTTTTATAACATAAAACTGAATCTGTAGACAAAATAGTAAGTTTTTTTTAAAATATTTATTTCTCTGAGAGTGTGTGGGTTTTGAAAATTAAAGGGGGCCCCATGGTGGGGGTCAATAAAAGTTTAAGGGCTGAAGGACAAATGTTAAATATAGATTTCCTGTATAAATTATATAATTAGGCCTATATAACTTTGTTTTATCTCGTCTGGGTGTCGGTGTAAGTCGGGAAGAAAAACTCCTAGAAAACGTATGAAAACTTTTATAATTTAATAGATATATCGTGTACGAGTACGTTTTGGAATAGTAAAAAATGCGGTGGACAATATGTGCTAAGTTTTTTTTCCTTAGTAGCTTTACAGTATAAAGCATAGTGCAGCAAAGAGTAAGCTTTGCTACACTATGCTAAATCTGAAACTGAAACAAACAGGTATAAGATTCCTAGTACTTAATCAATGCAGCTGCAAGCTCGCTAGTTCCCGGATCTATCAATCAAGAAGGCCTATATTTAGAAACCGCGCATTCGCAAACAAGGATTTTAGCAGTAGCAATGCGCTCGACAAAATGTATTAAGTTATTGTTTTAACTTTAGAAGCGGAAATTTAAATTGTAACCAAAGGTAATGACTTCGTTTTTTTTTTTCAAGTGTTCCTAAAAGAAAATAATAATATTTTTTTCCAGATGGCATTATTACCAATTTCACACATCATTCAAAACTAAACCGATATTTCCAAACGTTACTTTTAATTTGATTATTTATCGATTTCTACACAACTGGTTTGTCCTTGGATTTCTTCATTGTTGAAACATGTATTTAAAACGTTATATTAAAATAACTTTAAACAATTATAATAGCACTGCTGAAAATGCGTAAAGTTGTTGCCCTGTACTTGTTCCAAAAACATGGAACAACTGTCTAGCGACTCATCCATTGCAATTTAAAGATTGCGAAACTTGTTAGCAGTTTTCACTATTCGAGTGATTTGCACCTAAAGCTACATATTCAAATTGTTTTGAATTTTCTTGACAAAGTTCCTCAGCCAGCTCTAACAAACATTTTTTTCCGTGAACAAAAAGATCACCGCGGGCCGGATGAGAGGACCTCGCGGGCCGCATCCGGCCCGCGGGCCGTAGTTTGGAGACCCCTGGTATAAAGTATAGTGCAGCAAAGAGTAAGCTTTACTACAGTATGTCAAATCTGAAACTGAAACAAACAGGTATACGATTCCTAGTACTTTATCAATGCATCCGCAAGCTCGCTAGTTCCCAGATCGGTTGAGACGGCCTATATATAAACCCGTGCATTTGGAAACCAGGGAATTTTAGCATTAGCAATGTGCTCGATAAACGTTCGTGTTTTAACTTTTACAAGTATACAGCAAAAATTATAATTTTCATCAAAGGTAAGGGCTTAACTTTTTTACTTATTGGTTCTTATTGAAGAGTAGAATATTTTTCTACAGCAATAATATTTTACCAGATGGCGTTAAAACAATTTACGCATATCATTTATGACAAAAGTTTTATTTCAATAAATAATTTGTACACCTTCACTTTTACCGTATTTATTTATCGATTTCTACACGATCGGCATGTCCTTCAATTTTTGATTGTTGAAACATGTATTTAAAACCCCGATTTAAAATAACCATATAAGAAATAGCAGATTTATACTGAAAGGTTATCTTCTTAGTATAAATCTGCTAGTACTCATAAGTCCACGGGACGGAGTGGCCTAACGGTAGAGTATTAGACTGCTAATCGTAAGTCTCGAGTTCAAATTAGGGAAAGTAAAGGCGGCTATGCATAGTGATGACCACACTTCATATGCCGACGTCACAGAAACAAGTGAAGTCTACTTCACTCGCCCAAAGACCGCCAGGTTTGAAAGGGAACTTTTTACTCAAAAGTCCTCCACAACAAAAATTAAAAAAAAAAAAATCCTAAATCCCCTCCCCCCTTTTCTATTTAAATTGGTTTTATTGGTCACCATTTAGGGGGGGGGGGAGGGTGACACCAAAGCAAAAAATTGCAAAATGTGCAGAAGAAAAATTCCCTTTTGCCTCATACATTAGTGATTAATTAAAGTTAAATAGTCTTTTAAGTACAAGTCGTCAATTATTACAAGCGGGTGGGGGTAACTCCATGACGTAAACGTACTAACTATAGAGAAAACCATGCTACATCCATGTGTATTATTATCAGACTATTGTCTAGAAAAACTTCGCTACTATTACGTCTGCAGTGACTAAAGTTTTTAAACATACATGTACTCGTATGTGGCATATATATTAAATTATAGGCCTATGTAGGCCGACACACACACACACATGTAACACTGCCTCAGTAGGGATATCACCCACTGTATGTGTAGTTTTTAAAGAGCAGACCCTGAGAGATAACACACGACGAAATGACGCTTTTGTTGTTAGATACTGCCTTTATAGCAAATCCGTATACTGCTAGTCATGAACATTGAAGCTACATAAATACAAGGATGTCATAAAATAGGTTACGACCTGTGGCGTCGCTATGTCGGGTGTCACCCGGTGCGGCACTTCCTGGTGTCGCCCCCCCCCCCCTATTTCCAAGAAACAAAGATTATATATCTATAATCTATATATATATATATATATATATATATATATATATATATATATATATATATATATATATATATATATATATATATATATAAAGCAATGTATGTATGTGTGTGTGTTTCTGTCTGTGTGTCTGTCTGTGTGTCTTTTATGCATTACCACACCTCTTATCACATCGCCGTGAAACTTTGGGAAGTTGTTGAGAATACTCCTGGGGAGGTTTCTGCGAAAAAAAAATTTCAAATTCGCAGGGGTGTCGCCCCGGCAGGGCGCGATTTGTTTTTCTCAATATACGGTATATAAAAATAAAAGTCTATTTTGATTTCACACTGTTCATCCAATAGCCATGAGACTTTGGGGAGTTCATTATACCACTCTAGGAAGGGTTCTGTAAAAAAATAATTTTTAATTTCGCAAGGGCGGCGCCAGGGGAGGGTCCGATTTTTCTCTATTTACGGTATATAAAAATAAAAGTCTATTTTGATTTCACACTGTTTATCTGATAGGTATGAAACTTTGGGGAGTTGATTAAAACACTCTAGTGAAGGGTTCTTTACAAAAATCATTTTTAATTTCGCAAGGTCGGCGCCAAGGGAGGGTGCGATTTTTCTCTATATATGGTTTATAAAAATAAGTCGATTTTGGTATGACACCGTTATCCGATAGCCATGAGACTTTGGGGGTGTTGATAAGAAAAATTCAGGGAATTTCTGTAAAAAAAAAACTTTATTAATTTCGCAAGGGCTTAGCTGGAGCTAGAGCAGGTATTGAGTTCATCATTTAGCTATAAGTTTAACATTCTGTGCAGTGGCGCCGGTAGGTCGGGTGTCACATGGTGCGGCACTTCGTGGTGTCACCGATCAAAGAAATAAAGTATATATATATATATATATATATATATATATATATATATATATATATATATATATATATATATATATATATATATATATATATATATATATATATATATATAAATATATATATGTATATATGTATATATATATATATATATATATATATATATATATATATATATATATATATATATATATATACATATATATATATATATATATATATCTATATATATATATATATATATATATATGTGTGTGTGTGTGTGTGTGTATCGGCCTACATAGGTGTATAATTTAAATATATGCTACATACGCGTACATATATGTGTATAAGCTTTAATCACTGCAGACTTAATAGTAAAGATGTTTATCAAAAGTCAGTTAATAATATAGTTGGTCGTAGCAAAGTTTTCTCTATTGTTAGCACATTTACGTCATGGAGTCACCCCCACCCTCTTGTAATATTTGTCAATTTCTACTAAAACGACTGTTTTACTTTAATTAATCATTAATGGAACTGGCAAAAAGGTATTTTTCTTCTGTACATTTTGAATTTTTTTCACTTGGTGTCACCTCCCTAAATGGTGTCACCCGGTGCGGTCCGCACCCCCCGCCCCGCCCTCGCTACGCCTCTGGTTACGACCAGTACACAATACTGCCAGAAAGTACCGATAAGTATTACAATGATACATACTTAACCTAACTAGTCCGCAACATGCAGCACTAGCATGAATAATACACACAAGTAAACTGAATAAAATACTTTTCATACCTAGTATGCAACATGAAGCACTAGTATGATACATACAGTAATATAAAACATAATGTACATTACCTTCTTAAGGTCTACATTGCAACTTTAACCTAAGAAACTGCACCGTCCGTGTCATTAGTAGCCTGGGATTAAATGCCATAAAAAATACATCAACAGTTGCGGTCCCACAGTGGCCGCAACCAAATAAATAACAAATTATTCCCCTTGACTGGTAACCATGGTATGTGTTACACACACACACACACACACATATATATATATATATATATATATATATATATATATATATATATATATATATATCTGGGGAGGTGACACGACGAAGTGCTGCACTGGGTGACACCCGACCTAGCGACGCCACTGGTTTCGTCTCTGTTCCGGTTAAAAAATGTCTACCTGTAATATATTTGTTCATCTTTAAACTTTAAAAAAAATTAGCAGTAAACCTTATAATCTGTCAATTATATTTTTCAAACAATTGGTTTATCAAATATTTGAAATATAGTCAAGGATCGAATACCTGGAAAATGAATGCCAATCAGTGGGAGAAAGTGAGGCACAATTGGACAGAGCTTCTGAAAGCGTATACATCTTCAACTCTTGCTTACTTGTATCAGGTAATTACTATATTTTAATTACAATTTTTTTATTATGTTGTTTATATAATTATTTAAAGTATTTGTGTAGTTATGTAAAACGTCATTTGTTCATTGAAGTTTTCGGCCCATTACCCTTGCTATTACACAACAAGTGGATTCAACCTTTTCAATTACCCACCTCAGCTAATAATATTTCACCATAAAATTAACCCTAACGCTAGTCCTCAAGTATATTCAGCCGAGATGGCTAATTGGAAGAGTTAAACTTATCTGGCGTATAGCCCTATTGAATGCTAACTGACGGTTAAGCTATAGCTTAAGGAACAGGTTTAGTGTTACGGTTTATAATTTAGGCCTAGATCTGAGTCTGGGCTTGGGATTAGAGATATGATCAGAAAAATATCTGATTTTCAAAAAATAGTTAGGGGTAGTTAAACTCTTTTTAAAATATGCTGAATGGAAAAAAACTGATTTTTTTTGGTTCACGCTACAGATTCCATGTCGATATGTATTTCTAAGAAGAGAGTAGTTACTAGAGAGTTGATAATATACATTATATAGATAGGACTGCTTGGGCTAGAGGTAGAGCGCTATACTGCTAACCCGAAAAATTAGAGCTCGAATCCGGGTTCATGTCAGTAGAACGTCCATGAGTCCACTCATGGGGAAAGCAAAGGCGGCTGGGCATAATGCTGACAACACTATTCTTTCATATGGCGAGGTCACTCAAACATATCAATTCTACTTTATCTGCCCCATTTCCTTGGGTACGAACGGGAAAAGATTATAAGATCATTTGTCCTTGAGATCATTTGTCCTGAGATCATTTGTCCTGAGATCATTTGTCCGTGAGATATTTTGTCTGAGATATTTTGTCTGAGATCATTTGTCCTGAGATCATTTGTCATGGAACCTTTAATTTGTTTGTTTAAATATTGTGTTTGCCGAGAGAGACAAGCCCACATTGTATTTCTGTAACTAATAGGAGGGTGTCATTAATGATGACGACAGAGAAAACATCAACACCGCCCGTACGTCAAGTCAGAAAATGGAAACATTGCTATTCATAATTAAACGTAAAATTGGTAAAGATCCCTACAGGTAAATATCTTTTTTGCGTTTCGTATTTTTTAAGTTGATTCACAAATATTTCTCTTCAGAAAGTATGGTTGCCATGGTAACGGTGGCCAGCTTGAGTTCTAAATTTGCATAAACTAACATATATATCGGCCATATAATCATTGGTCCTTCTTTAACTCACACTAATTTTATTTAAAAAATGTATGGTGAAATACCGTTAAATTTTGCATTGTTTTTAGTGATTTTTCATTATACCAAATTTTGAAAATTAAAAAAAAATATTTCTAGAGTGTTTTCTGTTAAGAAAACTAGCCAGCTGACTCTATTAGTGTTAGTAAATGAAGAATCAATAATTATATATGGCCACTTAATATGTTAGTTTATGAAATTTTAGAACTCAACAAAAGGTGCTTTTTTCAAGATGGCCGCCGTCGCCATGCCAACAATATTTTCGAAAGAGTCACTGATACTTGCAAATATTTTTTTTAAGTACCCTAACTTAGATATATACAAATAAATAAATAAAACATATTAATTAAGAAGTTGGTTTTTTTCTGGAGCCTATTCCCTTAATGCAATAGGATTTAAGAACACAAAGTTAGACATTTTAAACCACTACATTACTGAAAATCTTGCATTTCCATATACCATTGCCGGTGTTACACGGCATTTTTGACACAAAAAAATAGTGAAAATAGGCTTCGGGAAAATGCCTAGACATAACATATTCATAGGGTAATGACATAAGGGAATTCAACTGACAGCAAATGTTCCTGCAAACTGGCAACCGACAAACTGAATCCCGATAATATGGCTCATAAAAATGTAACCTGTAAATAGGGCATGTCCTTTTGATTACTCAGGAGCTTAATTTATATCGTTTACAAAATTATGTTTAAGAAAAATAAATAAGTAATAGTTTTGCTAAAAGGAATAATTTTATGGAAGGTTAATACAAAAAGTAGATCTAGCGTTTTTTAAGATTTATGGAAAACTAAAACTAAATCTAATAGGTGGAACATTAAGAATAATAAATCACAGTATAATTATCGTTTAACTAAATTTCAAGATTTCAAGAAGTTGAGAATATGCTTATTTTTCTATACATTTATTGAGCTTCCCCCCCCCCCCCCCCCCCCACCCCCCGTAAATTTGCATATAATTTTTAACAAAATCCATCTAAAAATATGTGCATCTGTGCAAAATGCCTTTGGAAAATGTTCTACATCGGCTGACAGGCAAGGGGCCTGCATTTTCACTTCCTGCTAGTGTGACCTACTTAGGTCTTTTTGCTTTATTTATATTTAGTCTCCTGAGTTATGTATTTGTCCTTGGGAGAATTGTTAGTTCACAGGTTCATATCGGTCAACTGAACTCTGTCACATCAGGTGATTGTATTTTTAATCACTGGCAGATCCTCAACCAATGGTCTTGCGA